GGGGGGGAGGGAGGAGAAATAAACCAGACTTTAACTATGCATAATCTGCAATGCAGAAATAATGCAGTTTGACAACATTTTAACTGTCATGGCGCAATGCTAAGAGACTCCTTTACATGCTTGTGTGTGTGTTAACTACCTTCAAGTTGACCTCAAATTATGGCGATCCTATGAATGAGACATCACCAATACACTCTATCCTCAACATCCCTGTTATGTGTTGCAGGCTCAGCATTGTGGCTTCCTTGGATGATCTATCCATCTGTAATTCAGCCTTCCTCTTTTTCTGCTGCATTCTACATTACCTATATTATTGTCTTTTCTAGTGAGTCATGCCTTCTCATGATGTGTCCAAAATACGACAGCCTCAATCTAGTCATCATGGCCTCCAGGAAAGCTCAGCTTTGATTTGCTCTAGGACCATTTACTTATCTTTTTGGCAGTTCACAGTATCTACAAAACTCTTCTCCAGTACCACATTTCAAATGAGTTGATTCTCTCTCTATTGGCTTTCTTTAGTGTCCAACTCTCACATGATACATAGTGATGGGAAATACCATGATATGGACAATCCTAACTTTAGTTTCAGTGAGATGTTTTTTGCACTTGTAAATTTTGTCTATTTCTTTCATAGCTGCTTTTCCAAGTTCTAGTCTTCTGATTTCTTGACTGCAATCTCCATTCTGATTAATGACTGATTCAAGGTATGGGAAATCTTTAATTATTTCAATTTCTTTATCATTAACATTGAAGTTATATAAATTTCCTGTGGTCATTATTTTTGTTTTCTTAATGTTCAGCATTAAACCTGCTTTAGCACTTTTTCCCTTGACTTTCTTCAGCAATTGTTCCAGGTCTTCACTATTTTCTGCAAGTAGTATGGTGCCATTTGCATATCTTAAATTGTTGATGTTCCTTTCTCCAATTTTCATGTCCTCTTCCTCTGAGTCTAATCCTGTTTTATGTGTGATATGTCCACATATAGGGTGATAAGATACAGCCTTACTTGACTTCATCCTTGATGACCTTGCTTGAGTCCCATTCTGACTGGAAACCATTCTGTTTCTCTGTATTCTGTTCTAACAATAGCCTCTTATCCTGAGTATAGGTTGTGCATCAGACAATAAAATGTTGTGGCACACCTATTTCTCTGAGAGCAGGCCACAACTTTTCATAATCTATACAATCAAAGGCTTTGCTGTAGAAATTTGATCATAAATTTGCTTGTATGAGAGCTTAATGCAATCTCCTGTGGTTACTGCAATATGTTGTGTCCCCTTTTTGGGAACTGGAATATATATTGAGCATTTCCAGTTTGTGGGCCATTGTTTTGTTTCTAGATTTGTTGGCAGATTCTCATTAGAACAGAGTGGATTCTGTCCCTGTAGAGTGGATTCTGTCTCTATAGGTTGGAAGTGCAGAAATAGGCTCAGCAATGTTGATTTTATAAAAAATTTACCCCTCAAAAATTAATTTACTTCCCAGTCAAAAAAGTGATGGCTCTCACTTCAAGAAAGGAGATGATGTTTGAGGTTGGTGGTGACAAAATCAGGACAGTTGATAATGCTCAGAAGGCTGAGTCCATGGAGACAGAAGGACCTCACTGTTATTTGAAAAGGTCACTCCAGTTGTCTGACATATTTTGTGTTAAATGTCATAGTTTTGACATTTGACATGGACTTGGAAATTCTTTGTTTTTTTGCTCTGTAATCTTTATTTTATGACTTAAAATGAAATGCAGGACCTGAGCCTCTACTTAAAGTGAGTTTAACACTTTTGATGCAGGTTAGCAAGTCGGTAATAGAAACCATAGGCAAGATCCTACTGTGTTGTGAAAACTGGGCAGGGCTCCTGGGCCATTGTTGCAGGGAAGAGGGAATTTCAGCAGGTGTTGCGTGTTGTGTGACAAACAGTATCTATGAAATTCCATCTTCTACACAAACATTAAAGCAGAGTGGGCAAAGTGCCTGTGGGTAGCATTTGGACCCAAGGACATTTTTGTGTTCACTCCAGGAATTCAATGTATTTTGGGGAAAAAAAAGTCTTGCCCACAAATGCCCTTGGGGGGCATGGGGTATTACTTCCTGTTGTTAACAAAAAGTGTCTCCTGTGGCTAAAATGGCCTGCATAGGGGCTAGAAACATGGCCAGTCCTCCCCCCAAAAAAACCTAGCAGAGCCCTCATGTTAGCAAGCGAGTATTCATGGCAATAGTTTTGTACACTGAACAGAATGGAATTGTTATTATGGTCATAGACAAAAGAGATAAAAAGGGGATACAGAATAAAAGAAGGTAAAAACACAGGTTAAAAACAGTATTTAAAATATCCTTTCAGATTACACAGCTTTAATATAGCAAGACAGGGTTGGTACTAGTTTACTGCAGAGGTCATGGCCTGGTGAATTTTAACTGCAGCTGCACAGAATCTGGCAATATTATATGTTGTATCAGGGTTGATGTCTGAAAGCAACAGAGTAGTGTCAAATTGACACGTGCGTCCTTAGTATTTGTGCAATAGAGGTGAAATAAAGCTGAGGTGGATGTCCCTGTAGTATGAGCACTGGAGTAATACATGCTCTATTGTTTTTATTTGGCCATATAGTCTGTCTGAGAAGGGGGTCTTCTTATATTGACTTTCAAAGACAGCTGAGGGGAGGACATGACATTATGTCGAAGTAAAAGATCTCCAGTGTTCAGGTACTTCGAGTTTTGTTAAGTATGCCATAGGTGATAGCAAATATCTATTGGAGTCACTAGTTATAAAATTTAGAGCTCTAGCTAGATCCAGTTGTTGCTCTGTATCTACCACCCATTGTTTGATAATTGCTTTAGCCTTACCGTATCCCATGCTGAGTAGGAGATCTGGAGAGAAGTAATTTAGGGCCTTTGCAGACTGCCAGAAATAGTGCACATTAAATTGAGGCACTGCCCTGGCTCAGTGCTAGGGAGTCATGGGAATTGTAGTTTTTTCTGAGACATTGAGCCTTCTCTGCCAGAGAGCTCTGGTGCCACAATAAATTACAGTTCCCATGATTCCCTAGCACTGAGCCAGGGCAGTGCCTCAATTTAATGTGCACTATTTCTGGCAGTCTGCAAAGGCCCACAGTCATCATTGTCTTTTTCCACTTAGACTGGAAATCATCAGTCAAGGTTCATGGAGCAACAATGGTGGGGAAGAAGGGTACTCTGAACCAGTAGCTGAGTATAGTCACCTACACTCTGGCTTCCACTCTCAGAGTTGCATTAGAGATACATTTTGGAGCTCGGAAAGCTGATCTTAGGAATTTGGACTGCACAAGTTCTAATGGTGCAGTGCTGGGGAGGAGTCCTAGCTGGGATCCATAAAGCGATTGTGCAACTGATTTGGCTCCAAAAAGTTTGAGTACTACTGGTATACAATGGCCTCCTCTTGACATAAGAAACATGAGGATGGCTATTGAGCTCCTTACACGTTATCAGCAGCATACTCCCTATGTGCTTTCCTACTACAAATAGCATGAAAGATTACCCCCAGATATTTGAAAGAGAAGACTTGTTCAATCTTGTGGCCATCTATACTCCAGAACTGGTTTTTGGGCCTTTTAGCAAATACCATGATTTTAGTTTTTTGATAGTTGTGTACTAGCTGATCCTTTCTGCAGTACTTGTTAGTGCTCTTTTTAGGCCAATGGGTGTTCTTTAAAGTACTGCTGTATCATCTGCATAAAGCAGAGCTCAGATATGTCTTCCCTCTAGTTTTGGATGATGGAAGTTTGTATTGTCAAGGAAGGGAACTAAAATGGTGAAGGGTCTGGAAACCATGCCCTATGAGGAATGACTTAGGGAATTGGGTATGTTTAGCTTGGAGAAGAGATGGTTAAGAAGTGATAGTTAAGATGTGATATGATAGCCCTGTTTAAGTAATTGAAAGGGTGTCATATTGAGGAAGGAGCAGGCTTGTTTCTGCTGCTCCAGAGAACAGGACCTGGAGCAGTGGACGCAAGCTACAGGAAAAGCGATTCCACCTCAACATTAGGAGGCACTTCCTGACAGTAAGGGCTGTTCAACAGTGGAACATGCTCCCTCGGAGAGTGGTGAAGTCTCCTTTCTTAGAGGTCTTTAAACAGAGGTTGGATGGACATCTGTCAGGTATGCTTTGATTGAGAGTTCCTGCATGGTAGGGGGGTTGGACTGGATGGCCCTTGTGGTATCTTCCAACTCTATGATTCTATGACTCTATGATTCTATGATTCAGTCAACAATACAGCCACCTGTGCCTCTGTGCTAAATTTGAATTATCATTAAGTGCCCGAGCGGGAAGGAGTGAAGTTAGAACTGTTGCTTATACTGCAGCTGGTTACACAAAGATAAAAAAAGGTAGAAACTATGTTTGTGTAGGAGATAGGAGATAAACACTGGCATTCTGATCTCTCTCTCTCTGTCTGTCTAACTCTACTGTTTGCTTCTGGTTTCTCTTTCTGTAACTGAATGCTAGTGAATAGTTCCATATATAAGTATCTTGATTTATACATGCATGGATGGATGTAGTCAACTGCAATTTAGCTCTTCAAAGCCATCACAGTATTGGGGAGTAAACCTTCCTAGTCAACAGGACTGAATAAAGATGTACTGACAGGATTTAGGAAGGACAGCAGGTAGGAAAAGGCTCATTTGTATGCAGGTGTTACTTTTGCATGCCTAGCCTCATGAAATTAGTTGAAAGATTTTGGTACATTTTCAACTTGTTATGTTATGGCCTTTTGCTCTGCAGTGAGAGTAGAACATTGGTGACTCACAGAGTGTGTGGCTGAATGCAGATTTCTCACTGCTGACTGGAGAATGCAAAAGAAATTCTCTTCATAAATGCTATATCACTTATTTGCATTTTTTTTAAAAGAAGAGGAGGATGAGAGCAAACAACAACAAAAGCATGACTTAGTGGTTTGAGTGTTGGACTATGACTCTGGAGATCAGGGTTCAATTCCCAACTTGGCCATGAAATCCACTGGGCGACCTTGGACAAGTCATACACAACAACAATGAGTGGTAACAACAAACCTCAGAATTCCATTGGATGCAGCCAAGGCACTTAAAGTGGAATAATTGCACTATAATTGTGCAGAGTGGAAAGGTCCTAAGCTGTACATTAGTGGAAACATCTTGATAAGTGAGTCACAGCTGGTTGCAGCTTATTTCTTCTAGTTGGTTTCAAAACTGCTACTAGATCCCTTTGCATACTGATCTTGATGGTGCAAAAAGTTCAGCAATGTAGCCAGATCCCTAAGGCAGGATTGGCAGGATCCCAGATGAGAACTGGTAGATTGCAGTATCCTGAAGCTAGGAGATGATCCAGCTCTAGATTTTCTGTGTCAAGCAGGGAATTGGATTAGATGTCTATATGGTCTCTTTCATTTCAATGATTCCATGAAGCTAGCTCCTAAACATGTCTTTTAAAAAATATATTCAGATCATGACCACTTCAGTGACTTTTCCAAGCAACCCCTTTGATTATTTTTTTAGTGGATGTGTCTTAAATTGTTTTAATTCTATACATAGTTTAATTACATTTGTAAACTCTAACATTTTGTATGTTTTTACTTATATGTTTTTATCTGTATTTGTTCTTATTTTTGGAAGGCATCTTGAGTCCCAGTTCTGGAAAAAAGGCAAGATATAAATGAATAAAATCACCATCATTTCTTTTCCCAAGAAAATAAATTCATTTAACTTTTATTTAAATTCACTTAATTTAACTCATGGCTCAACACTTCACAAACATCCCAAATTCCTGTGTTCAAGAGTTTCTGCTCTTAAATGTTAAAACCTGGGGTTCCTCAATATTTAAAATATAATACTTTAAATTTTCCACAGGAAACTGAAGTGCAATGGTTGTTTATATATTTTTGAGGCGTATGTATGAAACCATGAGCCTCAAATGTCTTTGAATCTAACCTTTTATGCAGACTACCCCTGATACATGACAAGTATGTATTAAAGGGAACAAGCAGATGAAATAACAAAATAATGAGATAGATTCAAATGTAGATTTTCAGAGGGTATACACTGCCTGTGACTGGGGGAGGGGGAGGGGATATAATTATGATTTATTCTGAGGGTTTTGCTGCTAAAATAGCTTCAACTCTGCATTGACTTTATTTAGTTGTTATATTTATTGCCTCCTCTCCCTCTATGGAGCTCAAATACTGGATGATAAGAAGTGTAGCAGTGTGTGGACAAGTAACAATGGGCCTACAGGAGGCAGCAAAAGTAGAACCATATAGTTGAAAGGGTCCACAAGGGCCATCTTATGCAATGCAGGAATACAGAACATAAGCACTCCTGAAAGATGATCATCCAACCTCTCTTTAAAAACCTCTAAATAAGAAGAGTCCACGTCCCACCACCTCCAAGGCAGCTTCCTAATGCTTAAGTGGAATCTTTTTCTTTCTTTCTTGTGATTTGAATGCACTGGTTCATCCACTGGTCTCTAGAGTAACAGAAAAGAACCTCACTGCATCTTCTATATGGTATCCCTTCAAGTATTTAAATATGGCTATGATATCACCTTTCAAATCTTTTCCAAACTAAACATATCTTGCTCTTTAAACTTTCCACATAGAGGCTGATCTCCAGACAGCTTGTCACTATCCTTCCTGAACAGTGGTGCCCAAAACTGGGCACACTATTTCAAGTAAGGTTTTGACCAAAGCAAATAATAATAATAATAATAATAATAATAATAATAATAATAAACACTATAAAGTCATTAAGAGTGCATATTGCTATTTGTAGCAATTTTAAAAAAAACATAATTTAAAATTGACTGGGTAGGCCTGCTGGAAGAGATATGTCCTTAATGCTGTTTTAAAAGCAGTCAGCATTTTCAGCTGTCATTATCTCCTTTGGCAGATCATTCCACAGTCTGAGGGCAGCAGATGAAAAGTCCTCTGGGAAACAGTTGCCAGTCTAGTCCTTGACTCTGGTTGGAGCAGAGTGGCACTGTTGCTTCCTTTGATCTGAACACATTATGATCTCACTTTCCTACTTTATGATCCTATCTATAACACACAATTTATTTAATAAATACTTTTTTCCACTTAAGACAATCCTTGATATTAATCCTAAGCAGCTGTTTTTCACCCAAAGGCATAATCAAGATAGTGTATATGCATACTTCCTTTTATTCTCACAACTATCCTGGGAGTAAGTTATGATTAATGTGATTATCCAAAGGCAAATTCTATGAGCACATGGGATTATGAACCCAGGTGTCCTCAATTCTAATTTGGAATTGTAACCACTATTATTATTACCTCCCTTTCCTCTGTAGAGGTATTTGCCATCAAAGGTGTAACTATGGAGGGGCAAAGAATGAAACTTTTGTCCTTCAAATAAGAATTTTCCCCCACCCATGAAATTTTCCCTCGGTTCCCAAATTTGTAGCAGTCAAATTTGCTACAAATAGCAGTAGTAGCAGTCAAGAAGACTAGGAATTGGAAGGGCAGAATTGAAAGAACTAGGCAAGATCTTAAAGAGCAAAGATATACAAATGAGCACTAAAGATAGAATCATCCAAGTCATGGTATTCCTCATCACTATGTATGGATGTGAGAGCTGGACAGTGAAGAAAACAGATAAAAAGAAAATCAGCTCATTTGCGATATGGTGTTGGAGAAGAGTGCTGAAGATACTGTGGACAAGCAAGAAGACAAATGGGTCCTTGAACAGATCAAGTCTGAAATACCCCTAGAAGCCAAGATGACCAGAGTGAGGCTGTCATACTTTGGCCAAATCATGAGAAGGCACGACTTATTAGAAATACAACAATGCTGGGAAAGGTTGGGGATAGTATAAAGAGAGGAAGACTGCAAGATAGATGGATATACTCAGTCAGGGAGGTCACGGGCACGAGTCTACCAGGCTTAAACAGAGCAGTGGGAGACAGGAGATCCTGGAGATGTCTAATCCACATGAGTTGAAGTGACTTGAGGGCAGTTAACAACAACAACAAACTTGAATAATCAGTTGAGCATTTAGAAAAAGAGCGCAGACATCCAAAGAAAAGGGGCAAGAAGGCTTATCAAGAGAATACAAACAGAACAAATATAAGAGTTTGAGTGTGAATGGTTTTCAGTGCTCATTGTTGAGTACATCACATGTCTCCCATTCTTGCTGGATCACATTAATGAAGGGAAGTTTGGGAGCACTCCTCCATTAGTGTCACTGGGTTGGCCAATCATACTCTCTTTCACTCGTGTTCTTAATTTCTCCTACTTACCCTATGTTCTACCCAGTGTGCCTTTTTTTTGTGTATCTGTTTTTAAAACACAATTCTGGAATTGTGCAAATGTGGTTCAACCAAGAAAAGAAAGGAAATAAAGAAAAGAAAAGAAACTAGGGGAAAAAGGCTGTTCTGGAATAGTGAAAGGGAGGGGAGATGGGGAAGACGAGAAGATACTGACACCACATGACTGCACAATCCTGAAACTGCCACAGTAGTGATTTACTGCACCTGAGGATTAGCACTATCCCAACACTATTGGGAAGTTCTTGATGGGGTTTTCCATCAGTGGCAAGGTACTGGGTTAACCATGTTGCCAGGAGAAGCAGGAGATGGCATCACATGATAGGTATTGCCAAAGGCACTATTATCAAACATTTGTTGTTGGGTGTCTTCAAGTCATGTCCAATTTATGGCGACTCTAAGGCAGACCTATCATGGGGTTTTTCTGACAAGTTTCTTCAGAGGGGGTTTGCCAGTGCCATCTTCTAGGTCTGAGAAAGAGTAACTTGTCCAAGGTCACCCAGTGGGTTTCCATGGCTAAGACAGGATCGACTCCTGGTCTCCCATTGTCCTATGCCCAATGCCCAAACCACTATACCATGGTGGCTCTTGAACAGTTATGGTGTTTTAAAAGCTGTATGTGATAAAGTCCTGTGATGCTAGAGATTTGGGGACTGAAGGAAAATTTCGTGGGTTGGGTGGTAAAATTTTCATTTGGAGCCACAATGCCCTCATTTCATCATGCCCTTTATTTGTATGACCCTGTAGTCAGAACAGCATTGGGCTTCTTCTTTTGCTCAGCAGCTGTTAAAAGGCTAATAATCACAGCTCCAACAACATATGAACAGAATCAGTATGTACTTGTTTTGCAAATTGCAGGTTCCATTAGCAGTGTATTAGCATACCTTTGTGGTCAAAGCGGCTTTCATTCTGAAAATTAGTGTAATGGCCATTTTTTTTGTTTTTTGTTTTTGAGAAACCAATGGTGTGATAAAAATGTTTGGTGTTTGACTTTGTCATTTCCCTTCCTTCCACTATAGAGCTGGCTCTTAGGGTAGCCATTTCCACATTATCAACAAGAGGAAATGCATCACCCCAAAAGATGATGAAAGGACAAGGATCTACATGACATTTTCACATTATAATTTATATGCATAGATACTAATTTAGAGATAATTTCTGTAATGTGGTGTAATTGCTGCAATTTAAACAGAAATGTAATGCATCTCACACAGTGGTGGAAGATTGTAACCAGGTGAATCTGCTCTCCAGATGCTAACTATGGAATGGGCCCAGCTCTCCCTTCTTAATGGTTCTTTTTGTTGTTGTTAACTGCCCTTGAGTTAATCTTGACTCATAGCAACCCTATGGATGAGAAATCTCCAAGACCCTCTGTCCTCCACTGCTCTGCTTAAATCCTGCAACCCCAAACCCATGACCTTCTTAATGGATGGATGGAGTCCATCCATCTGGCATGTGGCCTTCCTCTCTTCCTACTTCCCCCCATCTTTCCCAGCATTATTTTTTTCCCCCAAAGAGTCCTCTCTTCTCATGATGTGCCCAAAGTACAACAGCCTCAGTTTGGTCATCTTGGCTTCCAGGGAGGTTTCCAGTTTGATCTGCTCTAGGACCCACTTGTTTGTCCTTTTGGCTGTCTGCGGGATCCTCAGCACTCTTCTCCAGCACCAGATCACAAATGAATTGATTTTCTT